AGCCGAGCTGAGTTTGAAGAAATCACAGCACTCAGAACATTCCCATCCTCGCGCCGTCCCCACCTTCAGCAGCCAGCGATGAGCTCTAACTCCAGTGGTGCCAGTAATAGTCTTGCTTTTTCTCTGAGAGTGCAGTGTCGGCCTGATCCCGTGCTCACGTATGTTTTGCTAATTAAACACGCGCAGGAATCCAAGATATGTTGTCTCCGGTCTTTACTCATACAGGGAAAACGGGGGAGGGTGGGAGGGGTCTCCGTAGCGAGGTGGTCAGTCTGGTTGCCTCGCAGTCTTCTCTTCTTCTTCGAGTTCCAGGGCTTTACAATCCAGTTTTTGTTTTTTGTCCAATTCTGGACAGTAATATTATTCCAGAGTGTTGCGTGTACCTTTCTTTAACAGATATGACATATCTGTCTGCAGACTGTTGGTTCCTTGCTTTTCAGGCAGATGCACTTCAACTTCAAAGCAAGCCGCCAGTTAGTTGACAGGTGAAAGTCCAGATAACATTCGGAAAGGGGAGAGGTAGGGGAGACAGACAGAATGAACGAACAAAAGAATGAAGTTTATTTTCAAAAAGCTAAGAATTAGGCAAGCTGGGCATCAACGATTCTGCCCTTCAGACAGACAAAAAGACACAGAGACAGATAGATTACAATACAGACACGCCAATGAAGTACCTCAACCAGAAGTTGTCTTCTGACAGCGTCTGCAGCTTTGGTCGACTGCGCCTTGACTTCTACGTCCACCTTGCCTAGGTCTGCGGGCACAATGGGAAAGTACACGGATTTAGCGCCTCCAGCTGCCACCTGCAAGAGACACAGCTTTGTTATTGTTGAAACCTTTAAGACTTTCCAGAGAACAGTGTTATATTGAATTATATCTCTACCGCCCCACTTTCATTTTCTTTTTTTTTCTTTTGCTGAACGATTTATTTTATCTATCTATCTATCTATCTATCTATCTATCTATCTATCTATCTATCTATCTATCTATCTATCTATCTATCTATCTATCTATCTATCTATCTATCTATCTATCTATCTATCTATCTATCTATCTATCTATCTATCTATCTATCTATCTATCTATCTATCTATCTATCTATCTATCTATCTATCTATCTATCTATCTATCTATCTATCTATCTATCTATCTATCTATCTATCTATCTATCTATCTATCTATCTATCTATCTATCTATCTATCTATCTATCTATCTATCTATCTATCTAATCTGTCTATCTATCTATCTAATCTGTCTATCTATCTATCTATCTAATCTGTCTATCTATCTATCTAATCTGTCTATCTATCTATCTAATCTGTCTATCTATCTATCTAATCTGTCTATCTATCTATCTATCTATCTATCTATCTATCTATCTATCTATCTATCTATCTATCTATCTATCTATCTATCTATCTATCTATCTATCTATCTATCTATCTATCTATCTATCTATCTATCTATCTATCTATCTATCTATCTATCTATCTATCTATCTATCTATCTATCTATCTATCTATCTATCTATCTATCTATCTATCTATCTATCTGTCTATCTGTCTGTCTGTCTGTCTGTCTGTCTGTCTGTCTGTCTGTCTGTCTGTCTGTCTGTCTGTCTGTCTGTCTGTCTGTCTGTCGGTCGGTCGGTCGGTCGGTCGGTCGGTCGGTCGGTCGGTCGGTCGGTCGGTCGGTCGGTCGGTCGGTCGGTCGGCCGATCGGTCTGTCGGTCGGTCGGTCTGTCTGTCTGCATGTCGATATACCATTTATGTATCCCTAATAATGTGTGTTGGTGCAAATGTATGTAAAAACTCGCCAAGCTGTTCTGGAAGGTACCCCCTGTGTGAGTGTGTGTGACAGTGTGTGTGTGTGTGTGTGTGTGTGTGTGTGTGTGTGTGAACACTCACCACGATGTCCTGGTACGTGTCGCCCTGTACCAGCTGCTCCTGCCCGTCCCCGCCGACAGCGATGTTGAAGAAACTGTTGGACTTGGCCAGGGTCACCCTCACCTAGAAGCAGGCATAGAAATAAATCACAGTTATCTCCCCCGTGTGGGTTCAAGGGCGGGTGAAGAAAAGATCTACTGCTCCCTTAGAGGCTTGTCGAAGTAGACAGCTAATTAAGGGTATTTACTTCGAAGTTGTTGTCCCCCTTCCAAGAAAACAGCAAATGAGTAATAGCAAGTTCATCCCTTCTTTATGCCATCAGTGCAAAACATGGACAATAAATACGGCAAGGTCACTAACAACACAAAACGAGACAGGGTTACGAATATCAGCATTAGAGAGAAAGTTGGAATAAAAGCATGTCTAGATTATATTAACGGACACAAAAATCCTCGACACTGGGTTACAACCTGGTATCAGTAAGACGACAAAAACCACGACTCTGGGCAACAACCTGGTATCAGTGAGACGACAAAAACCACGACTCTGGGCAACAACCTGGTATCAGCAAGACGACAAATACCACGACACTGGGCAACAACCTAACATCAGTGAGACGAAAAAACCACGACACTGGGTAACAACCTGGTATCAGTGAGACGACAAAAACCACGACACTGGGCAACAACCTGGTATCAGTGAGACGAAAAAACCACGACACTGGGCAACAACCTGGTATCAGTGAGACGATAAAAGAAAGTAGAAGACTTCAAAGTCAGAGTGCATCTGACTGAAAGGCGAGGAACCAACAGTCTGCGTACAAGTAAGTCAGATCTGTAAGGGGATGATCATGCAGAATTCAAGTTCTATATGACCAAAGTCCAGAAATGGATGAACAAACCAAACAATTCCGCCAGAGTTGACAGCTGGTGAAGGCTAAGAGAAAGAACAACTCAATTCAAAATTATCAAAACATGTTTTTGTTTAAATTTTTTGTAAACTTTTAATTTACTATTTATTTGTGTTGATATATTGATTACATATTTTGGGTGCGTTATGGAAAGGAAAAAAAAAAAGAAATATTTGTAAAAAGATATCAGACTAAACAATAAAGCAGAACTGATCCCATTATCACAATCACAAAAGCTAAGTCAATATTGCGGTAAGAAATATGTTCTCGGCACATTTTATGAAATGTCCAGGTTTCAATTAAAAATATGAATGCAATAAATCACTTAAATTGAGGTATTTCTGAGAAAATCCAGAACCTTTCTCTGCCAGTTGAAACTCTGACACACGTGTGAACACAGGAAATGAATCATAGACAGAAAAATATGTGCCGTAGCAAAAAAAAAAGTTATAAAGCTGTGTTGAACGTTAAGTCATTTAGGCAAGCTGGGGCCAATTAGATAGATAAGGTGGTTCTGGAGTCACGAGATGACTGGAGAGGCTTAAAATAGAATAGAAGCTAGGACCAGAATTAGAAAAGTGCTCATCAGAGAGCTGCTATTTGCATATGATGCTGCAGTTACGACCCACAACTACCTGCATTTAGTGATGCGTGCTGTGAATTCTTGCAATTGTCTCATTTTCAGCGTATTTAGGGGAGAAATTTTAGATTGATTTTTTGTTTCATTCTGACCACAATCATGGCGACTAGAACCGGGGCTGCTGAAGTTGGTACAAATGTGGAATGTTTCGATATTTATCGAGCAAAACTGTGCTTCTAGTACCATGCCCGATATGTCGGTACTTTTTAGATATTTTGCATAAATATTTTAAATGTTGATATTGACGCTGGATCCAGACAATGGTTCTGGAGGAAGAGCAACGTCAGTTGTACCACTGGTAATTAAGTGTATCAGTCTTATTAAAGAAGAATGTTACTGGAAGAAAATACAGAATGGAGATTTAATAAATCTCCGTTAAATCGTTCAGTCCCAATCAACATGATTAGTATGTCCGTGAATCCCACTAAACATGTTATATTTTCTAGTCCTTTCCATATTTCGTCATAGCATAATAAGAAATCTGGCTCTCCCAGTATTTAACGTCTTCGAAATCAATGCACTGGTGGATTTTCCAAGTGTGGTTTTTTTTTTTTAACATATGGGAATCTCCGGTAAAACCTTCGGGTAGTCAAGGAGTTAAAAATGCGCCAGTGAATTGAATGATGCAACCCGTGAAAAGAACTGAAGATAGTGTTAGCGAAACAAACTGCTTAGATAAATAGACTCGGGAAAATGCAGCCCAAAACGAATATACTGATTTAGGAATCGACTTCATAAAAACACACCGATGATACTAATAAGTTATCCGTTTCACATAGCAAATATTTATGTGTAGATGCTGAATTTTCTATTAGTACACTAATTATATACATGTCACTCTCTTCCTCTGGTACGTCCCTACTTGCCTGATCCACACCTAATTCCTTGATAACCTAGTGATCTCCTTGTGAGATGCACGTTTTCGTTACTTTGAAGCCCCACCTTGGCTCTTGCCAGGGGCCGCAATATAGCCAGACCATAAATATGGTCTAATGGCTGAACGCGGTTTCTGGGACCTCTCCACGGGTGATCCTCATCCGCATGGTGGTACTTAGTGTCATCGGGTGTTTATCGCTTGTGTGATGTCCTGGTGGGGTAAAGGTACTACTACTACAACCTAATTCCTCGTTCACACATTCGTGTACATGCTATTTCATCTAACCTAGTGTCTTTTAAAAGTGGTTCAAAAATGGTCTTCAGAATGTCTTTTTTGTTCGGTACGAGTGTTCCTGTAGCTATAGCTTTTGTAGCCAGAAAATCCACTCCTTTATTGCCTCACACTCCTGTATATCCCAAACAGTATATCCACGTGAATGCCTGTCAATCAATCAGTCAATAAGCAGGCCTTTTACAGAACGTCGCTCCCTTTACGCACACTTAAAAATCTCTTTTTTGCTAGTCAATTCTCTAGCCCTGTGTACTTTCATAGCCAGTGGGTCTTCAGTGTCCTGTTTAGACGTTGCAGAGGTCGCCCTCTGCCTGAGTCCCTGTACTAATAATAATTATACATAAGACACGCTACCTGTGGAAACAGTTTAAGCAGAATAATCTCTTGAAGCTTACCTGCATGTCCTCCTGCAGGTAGTTAAAGACGATGGCCTGCAAGGCAAGATGTTCACCACGAGTGACTGAGTACGGCAGGTTCAAACTGACAAAGAATGGTCGGAACACTTTCAGCTGGGGACACAGTGAGATAGTTACTGTTAAAAGTTAATTGCGTTTCGTTTACAGGACGCTGCAGAATTTCTGTATTGTGCAAGGCAATTGTACATTCAGTTTTTTTTACGAGATTATTTTGTTTTTTGTTTTTGTTTTTAGTATCCAGAAGCCATGAGTTGTTAACCCTTAGGCTCGGTATTATGGATATCGCAACTTTCGGCCTTGATTCCATTGTAAATACCGTAAATCTGGAAGAAATGTGGCTTTTCTGCCTACCCCCGGGATTGAACCCGGACCACAAGGAGTTCGTCAACTAGGCTAGAGAGCCGCGCTTTGACATTATAAACTGAGCTAACGACACTCGATAACCCTGTCGAAATCAACGCAAAGCCGTTAACTGTCGAATCGCCCCCAGATGGAATCGAATCGGGTACATCGAAATTACGAAGCTCTTCACGCCTATGCCACAGTCACGGATATATTATTACTGTACACACAATTAGAATGCCAACAGACCTAAATGTTTTTGAATTTCATCTTCTTCTTCTCACTTAGTACTACTTACTTAGTTGCTTCTCTTCTACCTTGGGGTGAAGAGGTTTGTCAACGAAATCGCCAGACGTATCTGTCATCAGTTTTCTGTCTGGCTTTGTTCCATTCCAGTCCTCTGTCGGTCAGGGATTGTCGGATGTTGTCTTGCCTGCGAACCCTCGAGGTCTGGTTCCCTGGTTTTTGGCCTCCCATCCCTGCCATGGTGGCCGATTCTATCCAATTCTGCATACATTTACAAACCATCGTAACTGTGACTGATCCACACGGGTTTGTAAGGCCTGGGTTTAAAGATCTTGATGTATTGTCTGACTGTGAACTTTGTCCCTTCTTGTCATTTGGACCACTTTTCTCAGATACCTCATTTATGAGGCCTGGTTTTTTTCTTATTCACTTCCTTTTTCACCGCTCAGGATTTCGGCGGAGGGGGTGGGGGAGGAGGGGTGGGGGAGAGGGCAGAAGGTTCTGCTTCTCGCTGTTCAGACCGCCTCGACCATAGTCACATCGTGCTGTTGTAATTTCTTTAATATTATCTTTCCATGTTGCTCTTGGTCTGCCTCATGATCCACATCCTTCTCATCTGTTAGCGAATGCCTTGTATGGTTTGGCGTTACAAGACATTCTCTCTATCTTTGTTGTCTTCGCATGTAATTTAAACTTGGTACTGTGTCAACCTTTTTCACGTATGAGCTCTTTCCTGATTCGATCTTTTGTGGCACTTATGCAACACTTCTTAGACATCACCTTTCTATGGTAACTAATGTATTTTTCTGGTTTGTTGCGAGTTACCATTTTTGGCACTGGTAGCGTAGTGTGGGAATGAATATGCTACGCATGAGGGGTTTCTTGTGCCCCTAATTCAAACTCACGTATATACCAGTAACTTTTTCTCTCCAGAGCTCCTGGAAAGTCCAAACTGTTTGTCCACTTCTTGGCATTGGTTGCATTCTGTAGAACTTAAGTCCTGGAACAAGATCAAAGTCCAGAAAGACAAACAACTAGAACTTTCCAGCAGGCAGACGTCAGCAAGCACGAGAACAAGGACAATAACGCTACAGTACACACCGAGCACCGCGAGGGCAGGTCAAGGGTTCCAATCTCTATCAAGGCAGACATTCTTTCTTAAAAACTGACTTTTGCTTTCATTGGTACCGGAAGCCAATGTGGTGTAGTGGCTAGACGCTCGCCTGGCGATCGGAAGGTCATGGGTTCCTGACGGCGCCGGACATTTTGTCAAAAATGACTTTGGCTTCCAGATCGGCCCAGCTTTAACTGAGTACCAGGTGCAGTCCTGGAAAGTAAAGGCGACCGATGAGATACATCATTCACCGAGTGCCAATTGGTCTATAAAATATAGGTCTAGCCCTGAAGGCGTAGAAAAGGGTCCTTTACTTGTCATTGGTACCAGGCAATGTCGAGGGAAGTAATGGTTGCCCGCGTGATGTTAACCACATCACAAATAGAATACTGACTGATCTATAAACAATACTTTCAGCGTTTTCTGCCCGATACGTCTAAGTGGCCGTCACTGAGTTGTACAGTACACACATGAGCCTGGGTTGGAGACACCCTGAGTCCTGTCACTGAGTTGTGTACAGTACACACTTACAAAAGCCTGGGTTGGAGACATCCCGAGTTCTGTCACTGAGTTGTGTACAGTACACACTTACATGAGCCTGGGTTGGAGACACCCCGAGTCCTGTCACTGAGTTGTGTACAGTACACACATGAGCCTGGGTTGGAGACACCCCGAGTTCTGTCACTGAATGTGTACAGTACACACATGAGCCTGGGTTGGAGACACCCCGAGTCCTGTCACTGAGTTGTGTACAGTACACACTTACAAAAGCCTGGGTTGGAGACATCCCGAGTTCTGTCACTGAGTTGTGTACAGTACACACTTACATGAGCCTGGGTTGGAGACACCCCGAGTTCTGTCACTGATTTTGTGTACAGCACACACTTACATGAGCCTGGGTTGGAGACACCCCGAGTTCTGTCACTGATTTTGTGTACAGTACACACTTACATGAGCCTGGGTTGGAGACACCCCGAGTTCTGTCACTGATTTTGTGTACAATACACACTTACATGAGCCTGGGTTGGAGACACCCCAAGTCCTGTCACTGAGTTGATGGCAAAGGCGCTGGCCACCCATGATGTGATGGTGTCAGGGACCTGAGCGGAGACTGAGCCCTTCCCGTCGGCACTGAGAGAAGGGGAGTTCAAGACAATATTGTTAATACATTTCTACAACTGTTGTAAATGTTCTCATTAAAATCAAAACCTTGCTGAACTGTACATTAAAGAACTGGACATTACTTTACATTAAAGAACTGGACATTACTATACGGATGGGTAACCTTTGAGGCCGTAGAAACAGTATATATATAATAAATAAATAGACATGCACTGATCCGCACTCATAGAAAGAAGTAGAAAGATGGAAGGATACATTAAACAGCATAAACATTGAAAGCTAAGGTTACTATGCATTGGAATCAATTCGACCTATGCTTGGTTAATATAAATCTCTGTAATCTATGGTTGAAGACGAATTCTGTCCGCATTACATAGTGGTCGCTTCAAGCGGTGCGACAGACATGACTGATCGAGACATTTTTTAGGGAGTGCTTAGTTGGTCATACATATTAGTTCACTGGTTCCTACAGCGAGGCTTCTCGTCGTTTGGAGCTGAAAGATTCAATTTCCTGCAGGGTAAACTACAGCTGTCGATTTTCATCTTGTCTAGTTTTTCCTTGTTTCTTTCTACTTCTTGCCATGATTGCAGATAAACATAGGCATATCTGTTCATTATATGTAGTAATACAAGACTTTAAATGTATAATAGGAGCGAGGTGGTGCAGTCGTTAGACACCCGTACACTGTTACGAAAGTTGTGGGTTCGAATCCGAATCTAAGTAAAAAAAAATTTTAATGACTTGAATCTCAGGTCTACCCAGCTTTATATAAGTACCAGCCAATTTCAAGGGAAATTAAGGCGGCCGGCATGATGTGGACCACGACACCCGCTGAGTGCTGATTGCTCTATAGAAATATGAATGTAGTATCAAATGCCCCATGCCTCACTGTTGTAAAACGAAAGAAATATCATTTCCGTTACTTACTTACTAAACGTATGTTAATTGTTATTTATCTTTTATTCATTGAAGACAATTAACGAATATTTAAAGATATCAAACAGATTTAAATTAAACATTCAAATTGTGAACAATCTGCAAAGGTTAAATCTATTAACAATATAAACTAGTACAAAAATAACAGTATAATTATAAATGTTTAAGTAAATTTATGCTTATTTAAGAAAGTCATACTTATTTATTGAAAGTTATTATATTTTTCGAAATTATTTAAACTAAGTTTCTGTTGTTTGCTATGTGGTGCTCAGCATCGCACTGTAACAGTTGATCAGTAGCCGAGCCAGGGCGCGCTCGGGTGTTTAGTATGCTCTGATGTTACAAAGTCGAAGGCTCTCAGCAACTCCTTGACTACACAGGCTTCTAGGTCTCACTCTGCTTCCTGGTGTTTCCATTTACTTCGACCATTCCTTTAAAGTGCACGTCTCCAGTAAAACAAAAGAGTATCAGACTCGTTCCAATCAATCCACTCTGCCCCTTCGAGATCAACTTGAAGTGCTTTTGTCAACCCATCTTCAGGGGAATGGAGCCCTGAATGTTGGAACTATGAAATTGCGCTTATAACTACTCTTCACCGATGCCATCAGTAATAGTAACATGAATTTTAAAAAAATTAAAGTTTAATTGAAAATGCAGAAAGCAAGAAGGTGCAAATGAAACAACTGCAAAAGCCAAGCAAAAATGTGCAAAGGAAAACGTGCAAAAACAAAGAGCAGCAAAAAAAAAAAAAAATAAGCTAGCAGTGGAAATTGCTTTCGGAGTGGAAAAGGGGTGGGGGAAAAGGGGCGGGGGAAGGGAGAGAGAAATAACTTAGTGTCTACCATGATTAAAACTGCTGGTTGGGGTTAGTGTTTGATTCCACTTTTCGGAGTTAATTTTGTTAAAAGATGTCTTCAAAGAAACTAACTCATGAAGAGAACCACTTGCCCACATCAACTACATGGTCTGGTCACGTCATGAGAAGGAACAAACAAGAATACATCAGGACGGCTGGAATTTTATAGGATAGACACTACTACAAGCGCCATAAGGTATGGAAGACCATCTGTGTCAGAGTTGACACGAGACAGAAGATTATGGATAGACACTACCACGAACGCCATAAGGTATGGAAGATCATCTGTGTTAGAAGTCATTGAAAGTATGACACCCAATGCGGTACAAGCGGAAGTGAAGAGAGAAAAAGAAGATTTTGGGAACAGTTTTGAGGTGAATATGGATCAATGCTCCCAACTCTACCCCCCCCCCCCCCGCACCTCTTTCTCCCAATCCCTTCTCCCGAGTACAGTAACTACTCACACCTCTAGGATCTAATACAAGGCGTCATTACTCGTAAAAAGTTTCGTTTTCATAAACAGTCTTGTCATGTGAGCGAGGGAAAAAAAAGATTCTAAAGAGCTGTCAAAATATTGTCCCAATGAATCGACAATAAGATATACACGACTGGAGGGTTGTTTCTAAGAGAGAAAGTCCTGCTACAACACCACTACGATTTCTCTATTTAGTTTCTATTGTACTTACTACGTTGAACAATTGAAATTTTGGCGGACCAGCGCCGGTCAGCGTACTAGTTTTGAGAAACGTGGATCAAAGAAACCTAGCAAATTACTCCGCTCATTTATGAGGAAACAACCATGACGATGATTAAGATGCTGGCGAAGAAGAAGATGAGGATTATGATGATGGCAATGATGATGATGAAGATGATGATGACGACGACTAGTAGATTGGGGCTTTGATATACCTAATATATATATCCTGCCACAAAAAAGATTCCAGGAAATTGTTGCGAACTCTTGTGGGCTCTTTCATGATTTCTCCACTGTTGGATTGGGGGTTCTGACTGGGATGTGTGTTCACAACGCCGGCCAAGGACATCGAGGGTGCAAGGTTCGAGGCTGTTTTTATAACACTGTGCAACCAATAGATTGGACCTGAATGGACATTTGAAAGATGCTATAAGTGAAGGAAAAGGAGCAAGGACACTAAAGTCCTTCCTGCCATATCCATATATAAGGCCGTACAGCTCAAACGGGAATCCTCGTTTTTGTGAGGCTGGCGTGGCGGGTTGGTGGTAACAATTGTTATCGAGTAGATTTAGACACAAATTAAACTACAGTTTAATTAATTTGCAACATGTGTAATTGAGTGAATTATTATTTTGAAAATAAATAAATGGGCCATTAGAAAATATTTATCTTCAAAATGATCAAAATTAATTAAAAGTAGTTAAATTTGTGTATAAATCTACTCGATAACGATTGTTACCACTGACCGGCCACGCCCACTTCACAAAAACAGGAATTCCCGTTTAAGCTGTGAGTCTTCCAATAATCTTTAGCCATAAATGACATTATGTTATCCGGGATTATACTTCATGTGACAGCTACAGATATCCTAATTACAACTATTCAGAATATTCCAATATCGTGGATAGAAAACGTAATACGTTTAGCTGTTAAGTTGCTTCTGGTAGCGGTTTGCGTAGCTTTCACATGTAAACTAGATTTTAGGTTTTGCTGCCTTCGCTACTGGGTTAAGTACTCGGTGCAGCACCGTGAGCTGTGTATTTTGCGTGGAATGGATTTGGTCTGTGCCTGCAGCGGTTGTTGGTGATAATATATAAAATGGTTGGCAGCCAGTTTGTCTTGTGAAATAATGGTGGGTGTCTATAAACGGTTCATCGTAACTGACTACATTCTATCAAGAACAATTGCAAATCTGGTGGTAAGTGTTGGCTTGGAATCCCTAGCAGCTGACTTATGCATTTACTGCATGTACATGTTCTGAATTATGCCGGGACTAATTATTTGTTCGCCATTTGTCAGACTAGACCATGAAAGGATGGTATGATTTTCACTGGCATGGGTAAGGCAAAAATATGGGATGACCAGTTTGCAATAAAGTTGTAATCTCGACTGCTACTACAACTACTATTGCTACAACAAACAACTACTACTGCCACCAACTATAATTTATTTGGAGGTTAAACGAGATATCTGAGATTTGACATGTCGGTCTATCATCCACTATGTGACCATTTGCAGCACAAGAGTTGAACGTGAACTTTTGCAGGTATCCAATTTGAAATGCCAACTGATTCCAGTAACAACAACAACAGCTGCGCATTCCGGTAACAACAACTGCTGCGCATTCCGGTAACAACAACATCAGCTGCGCGTTCCGGTAACAATAACATCAGCTGCGCTAATCCGTTAAACTTGCACGCGAGCAAATTATGCTTTATAAGCAGAAAATTGTTACAGAATTTCTGGTTGCGGCCAAATAAACTGTGGTAAACATTCATACAAGCACTGTTTATCGCTGGGTTCAGAGAGTTAAGGCTTTAGATAGCACATAGATGGACCTCAAAACTGTATTCATGTAATGACGAAACAGCAAGGGAAAACGAACCAAACAAGTGATACAGGCAAGGCATAAATGCCCGTGTTTGACTTTGGCGCAATGTCACACAACTGGAAGTGCATAATGTGCTATATTGTCAGTGGATTTGCACACATTTTGCAAAAAAAAACTGTTTACGAGCAAAGAATGTGGGACGTTATAATTTGATTGCTCCTCGTGCAAGAGGAATAATGACATTTCAGTTTTCCAGCTTCGCAAAGTTTGAACAGTGATTACAGGATGAGAATATTAATTCCGAATATTAGCCCCGCTGCGACTGAGCTTCATCGTTCGATCTGCCTACGATGTATTACCATCCGGTGTCGACATGGTAAAGTGGAGTGCGGCTAACGACCCGACATGCCCGCTATGCAGAGCTAAGCAGACGCTCGAGCACGTGTTGTCCGCGTGCAGAAAAGCCCTATATCAAGGCAGGTATACTTGGCGCCACAACAAGGTGCTGAAAGATTTAGCTGTGAACCAAGCCAGGATGGGGGCCAATGCGAGGGCCAGTCCTACCGTCGACCCCGTACGCCTCCTTAAGGCTGGGCAGATTTATAAAGGCAAATTCAACAAAGTCGCATACGCTCCATCGATGCTAGACTGTGCAAGGGACTGGTTACTGGCGGTTGACCTGCCTGGCCAT